GGTGCCTTCTTCACTGGTAGGGAGCATGTATGGCAGAGACACCCCGGTGCTCCCCCTGTCTGGGTCTCGAATAGGCTCCCCCAGCCATGTGGACCTGGCTGGGTCCTTAGGCTCTCTGGACCACAGCTTCATCCTGGGTAGAACTGGGCTTGCTCTGTAGATGTCTATGTTAACTGTAGGGCAATAGCCATCGCATAGGATTTACCATTTGTGAGTGTAGAGTGCAGCGGCAGTAAGGGCCTTCCACCGCTGTGGAACGTCACCTTCTTTACGCTCCTCAGAGCACTTTCATCCTCCCAGATGGAAACTGTGGCCCCACCAAGCCCACAGTCCCCTCCCTGAGCCCCCGGCCACTGCCCTTCTACTTTCTGTCTCTATGACTCTGACATCTCTGAGACCACAGGTAGGTGGAATGAGGGGCTTGCAATAGCCTCACGGCAGGGTCGGCAGCTCGGCCAAATGAGGTCCCATAGGGAGGGTGCCTGCCCTGGGTGTGGCACCAAAGAGTTCAATAAATGTGGCTTCCTTTCTTCCCAGCCCGCTTTCCTGACGCCAGCCTGCACTTGGATGTCCCCCTCCGCACGGGTGTGCATCTATCTTTCACTCAACGTGGCTCCATTTGACAGGTGGGAGGCGTCTTTGCAGATTAAAATAGACCTAGAGAAAGGCTCTCTGACAGTACCCAGGGCCGCGGGGACCGAGGAGTGGACAAGGGGCACTCCCTTCTCCTGTCGCCTTCGTTCTGGATATCCAGCCTCCCCAGGCTGCGTGTGGACAGCAACAGACGCTCAGCGCCTCGGGGTGTCAAAGACTGGGTACGAGGCGTTAGGCTCCTTATTTAGAAGCATTGAACAAAAGAGCAAAACCTCACAAAGCCAGACTCATGTTCCTAATTTTAAATTTATTAAAATATGATGAACCCTCCTTGAGATCTAAAGAACAGCCTTAGGATTGTTTAGACAAAGTGCTGTATACCACACAGCCCAGACGCCAGCCGAGGCCAAGTTCCTGCGTGACGTCTGGGCTGACGGTGGCACGTGGATGGAAGAGGTAGCTTGTGGGTGGCGCTCTGTGGGGAGGACGGCTTTTCCCACGTCTTCCCCAAACCGGTTCTTCTTCTGCACCTCCGGTATTTCCTGCGGTGATTTTCAAAACTCTCACCCTGCTGGCTGTTTCCACCAAACTCTCTGGCTTATTTTTCTTTTGTGTTTTGAATGTCAGCACCCTTTTCGAATTTATGATCCCAGGATGAAGACCATATTCCAGATGCGATCCCACAATGACCAGCAGAGAGGAGAGTGAAAATGTTTCTTTCTAACGTCTTGATCTGACTTCAGACAATGTAGCACAAGATTGTACCAGGCTTACAAAGCTTTTTCTTTCCATTCTTCCTTTAAAATTATTCCACACGTATAAAAATAAAAAGTATTTTTTTTTTTTTTGAGACGGAGTTTCACTCTTGTTACCCAGGCTGGAGTGCAATGGCGTGATCTCGGCTCACCGCAACCTCCGCCTCCTGGGTTCAAGCAATTCTCCTGCCTCAGCCTCCCGAGTAGCTGGGATTACAGGCACGTACCACCATGCCCAGCTAATTTTTTGTATTTTTAGTAGAGACGGGGTTTCACCATGTTGACCAGGATGGTCTCGATCTCTTGACCTCGTGATCCACCCGCCTCTGCCTCCCAAAGTGCTGGGATTACAGGCTTGAGCCACCGCACCCGGTCCATAAAAAGTATTTCTATGACAAAATGACACCCTCACCCCAAAATGGGTGTTCTTTCCGTAAGGTGTGCTTTATTCGTGGTCCAGGCTACTGCTCACTAGTGACACTGCCTTCTGAACTGTAACGCAGACTTCCACAGGCCCCTCTGAGAGGGTGTAAGGACCAGGAACTCAGCTGAATGGCTTGGAGGGCAGGCAAGGATTAATTTGAGGCACGTTTTCCTTTAGGTAATGAATTCGTTTTTAGGAATTTCTTGATGTAAGTCAAAGATTTGGAAATCAAAGTCTTGAAATGCATCCAGTGTACGTATAGAGCTGGTTTAGTGCAGGAAAGTGCCGGTGTGTGGTGAGGGGCGACCCTCTGTGGATCCCCTAAACATTCTGGGCTTTGCTCACGCAGACAGAGGCGCTGTGGGCCCTGCGGGAGGGAGAGGTGTGGGGAGGTGCCGGGAGGCCCCCTGGGAGGGGGAGGTGCAGGGAGGTGCCGGAAGTTAGGCTGATGGGGCCTTGTGGCGCTGTGCTGGGGCGTTGAGATTCTGGTAACTCTCAACACTGAGAGGCGGGCACACTTGGAGTGGCCTCCATGCCCCGGGCTCCCTGAGGGGACTTCCCCGAGCTCCTCTTCCAGCCTCCTCCTTTCTGGACCCCTGGGCCCCCATGCAGCATTTCTTGCTGAAGACCTAGCGGCTCTCCTGGCTCCTCTGCTTCTCCTCCTCTGCCTCCCAGCCTCCCAGTGACCTCTGAAAGGACTCCTGCCATGGCCCTTGACTCATCATCAGGTCATGTGGGTGCCAGGGAGCTGCTTGGAAAGGGTCTTTCTTCGTAGCCATTGTGCCGGGTAGAATAATGCACCCCCAAATCTGTGTCCACCTGGAACCCAGGAATGTGTCTTATGTGGAAACAGGGTCTTTGCAGGTGTGGTCAAGTTACAGTGAGGTCACACAGGCCAGGACAAGCTCCAAGTCCTTCCAAGAGGAGGGAAATTTGGACCCCGACACAGATCCATGGTGGGGAAAGGCTGCGTGACAGGGATTGGAGATGCGGGGGGTGCTTCTGCCCCCGAGGAGCGCAGGGGCCTGGGGCAGACACGGCTGTCTTTCCCATCACGGCCTTTCTCACTTAACCCCACCTCACTCTCATGCTTTCTTCCTGGAGTTCGCTAATTACTGACAGAAAAGAAACACCTGTGGACCCACCCCGAGGAGGAGCCTCAGACCAGCACTCAACAGCCAGAGATAACAGGAAGGGGCTTTGGGACCATAACCTTCGCTCTGTGTCCGGATCCTTGGTTGGCATCAGGGAAAGGTCCAGACGGGGGTTTCAGGAGGAGACGCTCACTCCCCCTCAGCCTGCTGACGTCGTCACCACCAACTTCACGTTTCACATCCAGCTTTGTCCTTCAAAACGCACGCTACCGTGGGCTTAACAAAGTGCTGCCTTCCATGGGAGGTTTCAAAGACCGGTGTTGCTTCCTCTGCCTGTATTCTGCTAAGCTAGAGAGGGCAGAGAGCACCTTAACTTTGAATAAGATGAAAGAACATGTATCTGGGGGCATTCCATGCCACACATACATAAGCATGTTTGGGTAACGGGTTGAGGTGGATGAAAACTCGGTGGTCTTGGGACTCCGTGGGTATTCCCTGCCCACCCTCCAATTCCGAACACTCTGTCCCTTTCCCTGGGAAGCCGGGGTGAGTATGCGCAGCAGGGGGCATCTCTGGGTGGGCCCTGGGGCTCCGTTGTACTGATAGTGCTGGGATGGATGGGTCCACGCTTCTGGAAGGCAGGTGTGTGCCAGGCAAGGAAGAGCTTCCTCCCACGAAACTGTCCTGAAATGATCACCCCAGGGTGCTGTCTTCCCTGGGACAGTCTCCCGCTGTGATGAGGAGGGACCCAAGTGCCCCAGGGTGCCAGGACCAAGAGCCCCCAAACCCATCCAAGCACCACAGCTTTGCTGTGCCATGCTGGGATTACAAGCTTCAACAAGGGTACACAGAGACGCAGGTTAGTTTTGTTTTTTCTTCAACAGCGTGAAGACACAGGCGGACAGAAAGCGCAGGTCATTCCAACGCGTTTCAAACCCTGGCTTCATCCAAGCAGTCTTGGGCAAGTGATGCCCTCTCTCCAATATCCACGTGCCTTGCCCATAAAATGGGATGATGGCACCCGAGGATTCAAATGCTCACAATACAAGGGCGCTCAGAGGCCCCAGAAAACCCCGGTCTGTTCCTGACTTTGCAGAGACTGTTCTTGAGGGCGGAGGGAGGAGGCTCTCCTTCCTGTAGCCGGAGTATGGGAGGCTGATGGGAAAGCTGAGAAAGGGAGGTAAAGGGAATCGGAAGAGCCTGGAGCAGAAGGGAATCTGCTGACTCTGATGAGCGGCTGCGTGAGGAACGTCTCACCTTGGGGCTGCCCGGGTGCCCACGCTGTGGGTCATCAGGAGGCTGCAGCCTGGTGCCGGCGTCACAGCTGTGACAGGCCCCTCCCTGCCTGGATTCCGCCTTGTGGGTGACGCGTCACATCCCACCTTTGTCCCAGCTCAACTCCTAGGAGTCTTTCCTGCCAGGCTCGGGGATGGCTTGGGTGCCCAATGTGCAGCTGGCACCTGTTGCTGAAGACACGCCTGTGAGCCTGTGGCAACTCCCGGCCACGTTCCAGAGCCCATTCGTGCTCAGCTTTGTCATGTGCCTGGTGAGGGAGGGACCCAGGGGCGGCCACGTGACAAAGCCCATTCGTGTTCAGCTTTCTCATGTGGCTGGCCAGCAGGGGAAGACTCCACCTGCCCTCTGCGTGTTGCTCTATTTGCTGATGTCCACGTCAGCCCCACATCTGTGCCACCATCTGTGTGACCTGGGCTTTTGCCTCTTGGAGAAGCAGTGCCCGGCCTTTAGATGCACTACAGGGACTCCAGGAGAGGGTGATAAACCACACGGGAGCGCCCGCAGTGAGCATGGTGAGACGGACGCCATGGACAACAGGCACATTTCAGTAGCGTGTAATACCGTGAACACTGATTTCATCCTTGCTACTTTATGACATGCAAAGTAATGATCCTGAGAGCATTAGATCTCTCAAAGGGAATTTGTTCATACTCAGGTTTTGGAAAACAAAAGATTGACAATAAGAGATATGAACAGACCCAAATTCCGACATAAGCGACATTTGATGGACGTTTGTAAGTGAGTTTGATTGGCTTTATCAAATTCAAGATGCAATTCACGACCAATTTATTGAGATCTTCTTTTCAGAAAGAGAGATTTTAATTTAAAAAAGTTTACCTGCCAAAAGTCGGCCACGGTGGCAGGCAGCGGTCCCTGGGTGGCGATGTACACGGGGTTCCTCGGGTCATGATCCATCTGTGGAGACAAGAGCAGTGCGGTCGGGGTTAGGCGGGAGGTAGGAAGCCCAGAGGCAGAGCCCAGGCTCAGGACGAGGGGAGGGTGGCAACACACCACCTGCCCATCACTGATTCCAATGAGCGCCCAGCAAAGGTGGGGACCCAGCCGTCCTGAGCCTCCAGCTGGGCCACCGCGTTTGAGGTGCTCTCCTTACACCCGAGGCTGAGGTTCTAAGGGCAGCATCAACAGAAATGAAAACCAGCAGCCCAAGGAGACCAGGCAGCCGTCGTCAGCCTGCTCAGCAGGTGCGGCCCCATGACACAGGTAAGCTTCCTGGCCACAGAGCCCACCCATGTGTTCAGGAGAACGAGCCTGGAGCCACAGGCCTGGCTGCGGTGAGGCTGAGCCCAAGCTTTCAGCGGAGAGTGCGAACGCGGTTGCTCCAGGCTGCACGGACAAACACGCCAGCGTCCTGGGAGAGTGAGCAGCCGCTTCCCTGCTGGAGTTAACACGTGTGTGTGGGGGCTTGTTTTTGTGTATCCTGGGAAGGGGGCACGGGCAGAGCCGGTTGGCTGGCCTGGGCCTTGGTCTGTGGTGGAGCCGGGGCGGCAGCTCCTCCGGGTCACGGCTTCCTGTCCTGTTTCCCCAGCAGGCGGGGACGGGAAACGGCGCAAGTATGGGCTCTCTGGCTCCCCAGCTTGTCTGAACGCATCCTGCTAGCTCCAACGGGAGAACTTTGGCTTAGAAAACCATAATTACTACATTTATTTCAAAGATTAACCACAGAGAAAAAGGACATGAGGACAAAGCCTTGAGAGGCAAGCGGGATTTGAGCACGTGGCTGAAGGGTGTCAGATGCAGGCCAACCCCAGGCCACACTGCAAAGGACACAAAGATACCAGGTCACCACTGTCATCCCCAGGCACTCACCAGCTCCTCCCCACACCTCCCAGGAGCACCGGCAGAGACCGAACCCTGGAGAGCCGGAGGCTGTGTGGGGGGAGTCCTCTCACTTCGGGAGGCAGCTGCGTGTGCACTGACACACACACTCCTGGTGTGGGGGAGTCCTCTCACCTCAGGGGGCAGCTGTGTGTGCACTGACACACACACTCCTGGTGTGAGGGAGTCCTCTCACCTCGGGAGGCAGCTGCGTGTGCACTGACACACACACTCCTGGTGTGAGGGAGTCCTCTCACCTCGGGAGGCAGCTGCGTGTGCACTGACACACACACTCCTGGTGTGGGGGAGTCCTCTCACCTCAGGGAGGCAGCTGCGTGTGCACTGACACACACACTCCTGGTGTGGGGAGTCCTCTAATCTCGGGGAGGCAGCTGCGTGTGCACTGACACACACACTCCTGGTGTGGGGGAGTCCTCTCACCTCGGGAGGCAGCTGCGTGTGCACTGACACACACACTCCTGCTGTGGGGGAGTCCTCTCACCTCGGGGAGGCAGCTGCGTGTGCACTGACACACATTCCTGGTGTGGGGGAGTCCTCTCACCTCGGGGAGGCAGCTGCATGTGCACTGACACACACACTCCTGGTGTGGGGAGTCCTCTAATCTCGGGGAGGCAGCTGCGTGTGCACTGACACACACACTCCTGGTGTGGGGGAGTCCTCTCACCTCGGGGAGGCAGCTGCGTGTGCACTGACACACACACTCCTGGTGTGGGGAGTCCTCTAATCTCGGGGAGGCAGCTGTGTGTGCACTGACACACACTCCTGGTGTGGGGGAGTCCTCTCACCTCGGGGAGGCAGCTGCGTGTGCACTGACACACACACTCCTGGTGTGGGGAGTCCTCTAATCTCGGGGAGGCAGCTGTGTGTGCACTGACACACACTCCTGGTGTGGGGGAGTCCTCTCACCTCGGGGAGGCAGCTGCGTGTGCACTGACACACACACTCCTGGTGTGGGGAGTCCTCTAATCTCGGGGAGGCAGCTGTGTGTGCACTGACACACACTCCTGGTGTGGGGGAGTCCTCTCACCTCGGGGAGGCAGCTGCGTGTGCACTGACACACACACTCCTGGTGTGGGGAGTCCTCTAATCTCGGGGAGGCAGCTGTGTGTGCACTGACACACACTCCTGGTGTGGGGGAGTCCTCTCACCTCGGGGAGGCAGCTGCGTGTGCACTGACACACACACTCCTGGTGTGGGGAGTCCTCTAATCTCGGGGAGGCAGCTGTGTGTGCACTGACACACACTCCTGGTGTGGGGGAGTCCTCTCACCTCGGGGAGGCAGCTGCGTGTGCACTGACACACACACTCCTGGTGTGGGGAGTCCTCTAATCTCGGGGAGGCAGCTGTGTGTGCACTGACACACACTCCTGGTGTGGGGGAGTCCTCTCACCTCGGGGAGGCAGCTGCGTGTGCACTGACACACACAGTCCGTTCTCCTTTTGTGTGTAGGACTAGAACTCTTGCTATCAGGGTTTGATTTGAGGTTTACAGTGCTCTGGATTTGAAGGTAATTATTAAGAATACATTTCTCAACACAGTGAAAAGCGAGCAAGTTTTAACCCTATGTGATTTTAAGCCAACACATGAGGACATCCGTGGTGGCCCCGGTGTCACCTTCAGTGCTGCTGCATTTGGGAAGCTGACGTGAGGCACGTTTTCTTTCACAGAGACCCAGAGCGGCCATGTGCAGCCACCACCAGCATCAGAGATGACGGCTGTCAGCACAAAAGAAGGCACCGAATGCACCTTATAATTATGTTCGCACAAAAGAGGGGCGCGCATAAAGGAGCAGATGTAAGTCATTCTCACAGTGCAACATGGTGACGCTAGCTAGGGGCTGGGGAAGGCAGGGAGAAAAGCTTTCTGTGCGTCTGATTTAGTGACTCGTAATTAAAACTGGACCTTGTTTTGAAATTCACCACAACACACACAATACAGGTAAAATCACGTTACTGTCACTGAAAGCCCCAATTAGAATGTTTCAGTAGAAAAACGCTTAGCAGAAATAAGGAGTTTTGATTTTTTGAAATATGCATTTGTTGGGGGTGACAGCTATTTACAGAGACCCCTGTGTCTTCCTTGCAAATAGTAATGCACAAAAAGGAAAACTCCACCTCCTTCTTAAATGTGCCTTTTTATTTTTCCCAGAGCAATTTCTACAGCAACACGTTTTAAAATTGTCAGCGTGTTTAAACCAGCACATCTAGTTGCTTTCAAAATGAGAACTAGGTGATTGAAAGTAAAATTCTGCATGGGGTTGCAGGAGAGTAGCTGAGGTGACTGTTGTGTTAGGTCTGAGTTGCTGAGGCGTCCTAAAGTCCACACACCCATCACCTGCTCCCACGCCCAGGACAGGAGCAAATACAGCCAGGGTGCTGGGAGGGGAGGCTGAATAGGAAGTGTGGGCTGTGCAGACTCAGTGGGGACCGGCCTCACCTCCCTCCCGTCTGCCTGCCGTTCTGTGGGGGCCACTGGGATGGCGGGAACAGCACGACGATCCACATGGTGACATGAGTCATCAGTTTAAGAATAATTCAGGAGACAATCATTTCATTCCAGGCACATTCTGTTGAACAGAAGATAATTCTGGGTGGAAGCATTCTGCACAAGCAGCAACCACCAAGGCCATAAGTGGCTTCTCGTGGTTTCACACAGCCTTCGAGGAAAAGTCAAGGAAATACTTAAGTAACCAAACAGAGATTTTATTCCATTTAAGCTTTTCAGGCAGGAAAAGTGTCTTTGGAGGAAATCAAGTGAGCTTCCAGCAACGCTGCTTTTTCCAGCAAGGGCGTCTGCCTGACAACGTGACATGGCGGTGTGTGTCCCGCCGTCTTTCCTGCCCAGAGGGCCACGCAGCACCTGCTCCGGCTTCCTCCCATCTTCATTCCTCATCTTCGCCTTCTACTGGTTACTTTCCACTTCACCGTGATACACTTTTTATCTGTAGGAGCGTTCCGTTCGTGACACGGACTGCCTGACTGTGGAAATGATCTGTTACCGTCTCTGGGCCTCAGTCTCACTAGATGTAGGTGGGTGTGGTCAGGGAGTGAGGAGCTTGGGTGATGCAGTTTCTAAGTGTCCTTTAGCTCTGGATTGCAGTGCACGTGTGTGTACAGACTCATCTGTGCAAATGTGTGTGTCCGAGTGTTGGTGGTCATCCTGAAGATGCAGTTTCTAAGTGTCCTTTAGCTCTGGATTGCAGTGCACGTGTGTGTACAGACTCATCTGTGCGAATGTGTGCGTCCGAGTGTTGGTGGTCATCCTGAAGCTGTCGGTGAAAATCTGTCAGTTTATCAGGTGAACACCAAGCTGCTGGGTGGTCTGCGGCCTGTGAACACGCATCTGTGAGGTCCTCAGTGAACCACGGGCGCTGCTTCCTCGGCGCAGAGCTGCCGTGCCCTCCAGCAGCGTGCGGCCCAGAGCCTGAACAGTGATTCGCAGGCATTCCTGAGCACTTTCTCCCAGACGGGGCCTTCCACAGCAACACCCACCCACAGAGCCCGGTACCAATGAGAATCCAGTGTGACTCATTCCAAGTGACTTCATGAAAATCGATGGGCAGAAGGCAAGTTCCATGAACAGTGTCATTCTGTTTTTACCCTTTTTTTGAGACACAGTCTCACTCTGTCACCCGGGCTGGAGTGCAGTGGTGCGATCTCAGCTCACTGAAACCTCTGCCTCCTGGGTTCAAGCGATTCTTCTGCCTCAGCCTCCCAAGTGGCTGAGATTATGGGAGTGCACCACTACACTCAGCTAATTTTTGTATTTTTAGTAGAGACACGGTTTTACCATGTTGGCCAGGCTGGTCTCGAACTCCTGACCTCGGGTGATCAGCCTGCCTCGGCCTCCCAAAGTGTTGGGATTACAGATGTGAGCCAATGCACTTGACCTACTTTTTAAAAATAAAAATGAAACCCATTTATCTGTGTTGACTGTATCATGCCTTGGTTGGCCGATTCTTTGGAAGATGTCAGTCACATGAACCAGGAGACTAATGGGTGTTTCCCTCCGCGTCTCTCAATACCTGTGTAAAGATGGCCTCGTGGGGCCCCTTATGCTACTGGAGGATAATTACTAAGCAGGTTTCTTTAGAAACTCTAATCTGCATGAAGAACTTAGCCATAATTTCCCCAGTATTCCAAACAAAGCTCATTTTAAAAATGAAGCCCTCAGCACGTGAGGACTGTTGGACTCAGTTCTGCAGTGCCAGCAGCCTCAACAATGGCGGAGGCCACCCACCGCTGGGCAGGTGAAGGGAGAGCCAGTTTCTGCTCCCAAAGCAGCCCTGGCCTCTGACAGCTGTGACCCAAACGTCTCAGGAGGATCTGGCCAGCTTTGGGGAAGGGATGGGGATCGCGTCTTTACTCTGAAATCTTACACAAAGAGGAAGTACACTCAGCTGTAGGTATTTCTACCTGCCCGCCTCTCCAGCTGCCTTTCCTAACATTTAAATGCATTCTGAACTGAAACTCTAAATGATGTTTTTTTCTCCCTTAATAGACAGCGAAATCTGGTGTTAGGTGTCATCCAGCATTCCGGAGTTGTCCTGGTGACAAAGCTGGCTGCCGCCCGAATGCCATTCCTCAGCTCGGTAATAACCAGGCTGTTTTAAATGTAGCTCATGGTTTCTCTCTCAGACACCCTCCGAGGGACAGCAGAACTCCCATTGACTTTCATGATCTCTGATTTAAAAGCAAAGATTGCACATTATTTACTGCTGGATGGCTTCCCTGAAATTTAATGAGGACTAAGTACGAATATGACAGATGCGATTATCGTGGTTTTATCCTGGGCAGCCAGGGCCTCCCCTTCCTGTAACTGTCGGCCTTTCATTCACCTGCTGCTGGGAAGGTCATTAGCATCGTACCTTCAGCTGTTTATAAAGAGGATGCACCAACAATTTCTTCTGCTTCATTCTTAACAACCCAAATTTGGGGGAAAAAAAAAAAAAAAAGAATTGTGGTATGAAATACAGGAAAGATGTAAAAGTTACCATAAAATGACTTCTCCTGCCCAGCCGCACCTTCTGACCCAACTTCTTGCCCAGTAAGGCCTGGAAAGGGAATTGCGTGAACGTGCAGGAATCCATCCCTCCGACACACCCGCCCTCTGGGTCCCACAGGAGCATAAAAGCCGTTGACTGGTTCCAGCTTGACATAGTTGCTGCGCTGGGTGCTGCTGCCCACACTGTGGCTTGGCCGTGGCCTGGAATAGCCCAGACAGCTGCGAGTTGGAACCCATCAGGTGGGGGAGAGCTGGGCACAGCCGCACTGCTCCACTCCCCTCTTTAGATGTGTGAATCATGGCTTTATTCCTCATCTGGCCCCGTCAAATGGTTCATCTCGGGGAAAAGGGGCCTCAACGTGACTCTTCTCTTCCTTCTGACAGTCTGTGTTGTCAGCCCTGCCACATGCAGTACAGGAATGGAATCCAGGCACGATGCACAGCCGGCTCTATCAGAGGCTGGCACGTCGGTGAGGCCTGGGTTTGATGTTTTTGAGTTAGAATTGATGACAGAAAAATGCTACATGAAGCACATCTTATTAAGGACGATGAATGAGGATCTTTGAAACTCAGACTGAACCCAACTTGGGATTCCACCTCTGTTGGAAATAAGGAAGCGATTCCTTCTTAAGAATGAACACATCACAGAAGCCTGGGCTCAGGTGGTGTAGACTGCGTGCACTAGAGCAGCTCTTCACTTTGAATCCACTCTTTCAGAGCCGAATCTGCTCATGTGTGGGCTGCGAGGTGCCGGGAAACCAGGCTGGCTCAGGCATGTGGGTGTCTTCCCAGCTTTGCTCCCAGCTGTGCGGAGATGGCAGAGCCAAGCGCTGGGCGCCCTCCGCCATCCACCATCCGTGGCCGTGGCCCACAGGCAGTTGGGCCAATACTTTCATCCAAAGCTCCCTATGGACGATGAGTAAAGACACGTCGGACACCACAGGGTGTGATTTGGGCCTCGCTCACCTGCCCCGTCTCCCCCAGCCCTAGAACAGCCTCGCATCCTGCAGGCACCATATTTGATTAAAGGCAAATTTGGAATTTTAGTGAGATGTCCTCATGCTTCCCTGAAGTCCAGAATTGAGAAGAGCTGTTTAAAGGGAGAAACACAACAACCAGCATCGGCCATAAATCTGCAGAGACCTGGCCTGCCCACCACTGGTTTAAATGCCACTTGCCGCGTCTCTAAAGCCCCCGGATGGACAGTGTCCCATTCCACCCCCGCCACCTGCCCCTGTTACTGCTCATCTGAACAGCCAGTCTGAGCGTCCCCAGCATGTGGCTTTAGCCCTCTCCATGCTCATTTCTCTCCCTTCTCTTCTCACCCCGGGAGGACTGTAAGCCTCCCATTCAGCCCTGTGTCCCCCCATGGGTCACAACAGGGAGGGGGGATGCCCAGAGTTGAAAAGGGTGACAGCCATGTCAGGAGTGGGCTGAGAGTTGCCCCCTGGGAAGTGAGGGGCCACAGGCCACAGGGACTCACACCTCATGGTGCAGAAGAAGCTGCCACACCCATCCCCAGCAACAGAGGACAGGTGGATCCCCACTGCACCAGCGTTCATCCCGGGGGGAGGAACAGCCAGCAAACAGTCCCTTTCTTAAGAAGTAGGTTCCCACTCACTGGAAAAACTTTAGGAAAAGAAACCTTCAATTCGGGACCTGCCTCCATGCCACTGACTGTTATAAAAAGGGTGGGCGGGCCCTGGTGTGCCATGCCTGTGAATATACATGGAACGTGGAGCTCCAGGGAAGCGGAAGGCATCCACCGTGGACCTCCCCCGAAAGCCACGGCTTCCAGTCAGGAAACGGTCAGTCACCATCGCTGGGTGTTCCACAAGTCATGGGACCCACTGCCCAGTGTGAGCCGGGACGCACACTGCTCACAGACAGCCCCTCGGGTGAAGGAGTGGGAGAGTGGCCGGATCCCAGTGGGCAGAGCAGGGAGTGGCCAGAACCCAGTGGGTAGAGAGGGCCATCCACTGCAGAGACCCTGAGCCAGGTGGGGACTCGATTTCCCTGCGAACCTTCCTGTGTGATTGGCCGCGTCCGTGCCCCCGAGGGAGAGCCCGGAGCCCCTGACCCCAGGGGAGGGCCGGTGATACACTTACGATGGGGCTGGCGTTGATGTAGTCGGAGTGGCTGTGGCTGTTCTCCGCCTTCAGCAGGACCCGGGAGTGGTCATCTGCAAGGACACAGCACAGGGGTCAGAGAAACGTTGGCCCACTCAGCAGCATGGGACCCCTGCCCAGCCTTCAGGGTCTACCTGTCCAACAATGTGGGACCCCCACCTGGCCTCCAGGGCCCACCACCCAGCAGTATGAGACCCCCAACCAGCCTCCCACCTGTCCAGCAATGTGGGACCCCCGGACAGCCTCCCCACCTGCCCAGCAATGTGGGACCCCCCTGGCCAGCCTCCCCACCTATCCAGCAATGTGAGACCACCGACCAGCCTCCCCACCTGTCCAGCAATGTGGGACCCCTGGGCAGCCTCCCCACCTGCCCAGCAATGTGGGACCCCCTGACCAGCCTCCCCACCTGCCCAGCAGAATGAGACCCCTGGACAGCCTCCCCACCTGCCCAGCAATGTGGGACCCCCCCGACCAGCCTCCCCACTGTCCAGCAACATGAGACCCCCGACCAGCCTCCCCACCTGCCCAGCAATGTGGGATCCCCTGACCAGCCTCCCCACCTGCCCAGCAGTATGAGAGCCCCGGCCAGCCTCCCCACCTGTCCAGCAATGTGGGACCCCCAGCCAGCCTCCCCACCTGCCCAGCAATGTGGGACCCACCGGCCAGCCTTCCCACCTGCCCAGCAATGTGGGACCCCCCCCGGCCAGCCTTCCCACTTGCCCAGCAATGTGGAACCCACCAGCCAGCCTTCCCACCTGCCCAGCAATGTGGGACCCACACCCGGCCTCCAGGGCCCACCACGTCCTCTCCCAGGACTCTACTGACACCCTCCTGCACATGCTTTCCAATGCTCCTGTTCCCCTCTCCCCTCCATCTGTGATCCTCCATGTGGGAGGCAGATGAGTGCCATGTGGGGAACTGGCAGAGCTCCCACTCAGCAGAACAGAGGTATCCTGGTGTCTTCCCGCCTGTGGAGTTCACACACTCAGGTCAGGGTTCCTCCACAGAATTTTATACCACACTGGCCTTTAAATAACAGACACACTTGGCAGCACACAGCTGGTAAGCAGAAATATGAACATTCAGCAATCAGCCACCTTCCAAAACACAAAGTTCACAGACGACGAACAGTTAAGTCCCAAGATGACTGGAATTTAGTTTTAAAAGTGGAGTGAGACAAATAAAATGCAGATAATGAGGAAATGGAGGAGAAATGTACCTGTGGAGACTGACATAAAAACTTGCTTGAACAGGCCGAGTAACCTGACGGCTGCTGAAGCAGGTGCTGTGGCGAGGACGCGTGGCACCTGTGACGCGTGTGACACACGAGCTGTCTTGGCTTTGGTTCTGGGGTAACGCCCATCATCGTGCTTACTGCCACCACCGTTCTCTTTGCCCTGTTTTTAGGAACTTCGACCAATGGAGCTTGCAGACGAGGGGAAGCTGCAGGAGCCCCTCCTGCTCCTCCCGCCTCCCTGGTGTGCGGCCACTTCCTTTTCTCTGCAAGGTGCCAGTGTTATGGGATCTGTGGGGTGTTGTTTTTCTGGCCAGAAGTCTCTGTGGCTGGTGGCACCTTTGCCTGAGTTTTGCTCAGGCTGGGCCTGTCAGGCTGCATTTGGGTACCACCCTACCAGCCTGGGTACCACGCCTGCCAATGGTGATTAAGGTGAGTCAGGCATGGGGCATGGGGTCCAGCCACTGCACACGGGCATGCTGGCTGCTGCACCAGGGCGGGCAGCTCCAGGGGCCAGCACAGGTGCCTGCTCTCTGTGAGGCTGTGGCTGGACCAGGCACACTGCAGGCAGCTTCCACATCTAACACTGAGGGACATGGACATGCCAGGAACCGCAGAGCCCCAAAGATGGAGTCACAGGCCTGGCTCAGGGAGCTCCCAGGTCCGGGCTCCCCAAAGGGCTGCAGCTGTTCTCTCCTTCTCTTTACCCGCACCAGGGTGAGCAAGGGGCATGTCTCAGGCCTGTTTGTTATAGCTCACGTAGCCCCACATCTGACACATCCTGAGTTCCTGCTCTGTGACCAGGAAGAATGAGGTATGCAGACAAGTGGAGGGTGAGCAAGATGAAGAGGAGCTTTATGGAGCAATAGAACATGTTGCTCAGTCTCCCACAGGGGGCAGCCCCTTTCTGCACAAGGGTGTCCCCATGAGTGTTCATCTCCTAGCAAAGAGGAGGCTCTGGAGTGGGTGGCTCCTTTCTGCAGGCCAGTCATCCCATTGTCTCTATGGCCCTCAGCAGAGAGGAGGCCCTCGAGAGGGTAGCTCTTCTTTGCAGCTGGTCATCCCCATGTTGGTGCAGCTCTGGCTGAGCCCGGGATATTTATGGGCCTCAGAGGGGAGGAAGTGCATGCTGATTGGTCCATGGGTGGCCATGGGCAGGCCTAGAAAAGGCACCACAAGTTCCCACTCTGATGTGCAGGACTTGCAGCCCAGCCCCCAGGCCCTCCCTGGCCTCACCAGAGACCTGCCCCCTCCCACTCAGGAATCTCTGCCTCCTGCTGCCATTCATGGCACCCAGGCTGTTGGCACCTGCAGGCCAGTGCCGAGCTGCCTCAGCCCTCTCCTGGCTTCCCTCCCATGCTTGTTGGTGCCCAAAGTCCAGAGGGGGCTGAGGTGGCAGGGGGCTGGTGTGAGCAGTGCCCTGCATGTGCCCACCTGTGCTGGGCTGTGACAGAACTCAGGCTTGGCCCTCACTTTGCTCCAAGATTAGAATAGGTGTCAACAGTGGGGAGAAACCAGGCAGCAGGAGAGGGCATTTCCTACAAGGTGAGGATCTTCTTCCTGGGTCCCCAAGAGTGCAGGGATGCCTGGGTCTATGGCCGAGGTCTGGGCAGCTGCAGCTGCTCCCAGGATGGGGGTCCTGCCTGCTTCGTGGAGCAGCAGGCCCAGGTCATGCCTCCCTGCTGGAGCCAGTGTGACAGCAGTGGCCAATCCAGATGGCTCACCACTGCCATCACTGGCTGAAATCCGAAAGCGACAGTGTCTTGGCTCTGCCGGCTTTTGTACCAGGGAATACCTTTTGGTGCTGCACACAACGCCAATTCCCTTCTCCTCTAAGAAAACAAAAGCATCCTGGCTGGAGCCCTCAGAGGTCAGTGCTTGGTGGCTGTGGGCTCGTCCCCTCTGGCTCTGGTCCCCAACTCCAAGCTCGCTGGGCTCCTCCTACGGGCACTGGCACTAGAAGGAAGTGGCTCCCATCATGGAGCAGTGGGTGGTGGTGGAGCTGCACGGACTCTGCTTCCCTATGCAATTCTTTCATTTTCCTTGGAGACTTCACTTACATTTTTTAGGGCTTGGGAAACTGAGTGAGTGTTTTAACTGACTGAACTAGGAAAGTATTATGCACTAGAATCAATACACTCCAGGCTGGATGCTGTCCTGATGCCCTCCTTCAGGTAGGAACGTCAGCCTCTTCTGGGGTGATAAGCTGGGATGAGAAACACATCTGTAGACAGGGAGAGGAAAGCACGTGCCTCCTGGGAGGTGTCCATATGCACATGCCGTAGGTAGCTGAATGTCTCAGGAATGTTGTGAAGCTGCAAATGATCCCATCAGCTTTGAACGAAGGTGTGAATGATGCAGAAATCCCAGGGACTCAATGGCTTTTAGCTCCCGCACAAATTAGTTCTTGGAGAGTGAAAATTGGCAGTGGCAGGAAATTGTAATACAAATCATCAGAAAAAACTGGTCCACTGTGACATCCGAACACCTCACAAATATTAATTCCAGAAGCTCCCAATTTCACAGTGGGGCCACAGAGACATCACAGCAAGGAACACAGCTGAGGTCAGAGGTGCTGGCTGGGCCTGGCGCTGCAGCCACACAGAGCTTGGGAATGAAAGTGGGGCTTCAGGCTGCCCCAGGACCTTCTGGGACCATGCTCATCATGACTATTTTTAGCACAGCCACCTTTAGGCACTTGTGAGACCAGAAACTGGGGACCACTCCTGTGTGTCTGAGAAGCTTGACCAAGAGCAGGGTCAGGAGGGAGCGGGGCAGGGAAGCGGCACAGCTCAGAGCCCCCGGGCTTCTGACCTGGCTTGGTCTGGTGCTTTGATGGTGCCCACTGCACCCTGAGACCCATGGCCTGGCCTTCGGGGGGCAGAGGAGGCACCAGGGCAGCATGCTGGGAGCTCTTGCTCAGCCGAGTGGTCCCTGCCGCCAGGCTCTGCACGCAACAGGCCACGGGGAGAGCATGGCCACTGCCACTGGGCTCAGCAGACAAGTGCCAACTGGATTTTTTCATCAGAATATTAAGAAAATGCTTCGCCAGCTGAGGAGTCTTGGGGAGTTAAACATGCGCTCTATGAGCCTGGCCCTCTCCTCTCGATCGCAGAGGGGGAATCTGCCCTGGGCCCCTGAGCCCTGCTGGTGAGCAGAGGACAATCCACGGGCCTCCTGGTGACTCTCTTGGAGGAAGGTTGTTTCTGCTGAATTCATTACCCACGAGGTTGCCCTTTAAAGATGGCACTGGGTCAAGGATCCCGCTTCCAAGGCTTTGGAGAGCTCCTCCTTCCTGATTGAATATTTGATTTTGTGTCAACATATTCTTTTGAAATTAACAGTAAAGTCTTTTTTCTTTTTAAGAGAAAGGGCCTTGCTCTGTCACCCAGGCTGGAGTGCAGCAGCCCGATCTCAGCTCACTGCAACCTCCGCCTCCCGGGTTCAAACGATTTTCCTGCCTCAGCCTCCCAAGTAGCTGGGACTGCAGGTGTGCACCACCATGCCTGGCTAATTTTTGTATTTTTATAGAGATGGGTTTTCGCCATGTTGGCCAGGCTGGTCTCCAACTCCTGACTTCAGGTGATCCACTTGCCTCGGCCTCCCGAAGTGCTGGGATTACAGGAGTGAGCCACTGCACCTGGCCAGCGAAGTCATTTTGTTTGTGATATGGGGTCATTTGGAACCTCCGGGAGATGCCGGGAGCCATCCTGGGAGGGCTAAGGGAGGCTGCAGGCTGTGGAGGCGGGCGGGCGCTGACTCCTGTGAGGAATGGCAACTGCTCCTCCTACGGAGATTTCCCGTGCCTGGCAAACCTCT